ACAGGGTTTCTCTGTGTAGCTTTGTGCCTTTCCTGGAACTCGCTTTGTAGACCAGGTTGGCCTCGAACTCACAGAGATCTGCCTGCCTCTGCCTCCTGGGGTGTGCCACCACTGTCCAGCTAATGCTGGATAACTTTTATTTACTAGATTTCTCTCACATTTTTTAACAACATTATAAAATCATGGGCTAATTCTGCAAAGCACTCCTTTCTAAGTTGCCATACTAATAATCCACTAAATTTGAATTTGTCCTTGCAGAAATATTTTCTTTTTTTATATTACTGGACAGTAGACCCAGGGCCTTGTGCATGCCGGGTAAGTGCTGGTGGCATAAACCTTGGAGAGTGGGGTCTAAAAATGAGGCTGACCAAAGTCTCATGCAATAGCCAGCTTTATTCAGAGCACCAGGCAGTTTATACTCTGAGGGTGAAGAAAAGCCACCTGAGTAAAAGTGTCCAATCATAAGGACAAGCCCCACGTGGCAAATAACATGTTTTTCCTAGAGGCACATGAGTAACAAGAGCGAAGGTAAACTCACTCCTATCTGCCATACCTGGGAGGAACACACAGACGCATTCCAAGAGCAGTTCTGTGTTTTTCAAGAAACCGAGGTCACAAGACTCTCGTATTGTTTTCTTGGAGTTTTCTCACAAGCACTCGGAATTCCCCTCGTATGACTCCATTTTTTTTTTTTTTTTTTCATGTGTGTGTGGAGGTCAGAAGACAACTTATGGGAGCCGGAGCTCTCCTTCTTCTCTGTGGGTCCCAGGGATTGAACTCAGGTCACTGGGCTTGGTAGCAAATATGACTCTGTTCTTGGGTTCTTGGACTGTGTTCTGACATTACCACTGAGCGACACCTCCATTTCATAATTTTCAATCAGCTTTTTAACCCTTATACTGTGTCCTCAAAGTTACGTGTCTTTGTGGTAGGATCTCATGGAGACTAGGCTGCCACTGTGTAGCCAAGGATGATCTTGAACCTCTGATCCTCCTGCCTCTATCTCCCAGGACTGCGATTATAGACATGTGTCACACACCCAGTTTACGAAATGCTGGGGAACAAACCCAGGGTTTCGGGTGTGATATGCAAGCCCTCTGCCAACTGAGCTACATGCCTGGCCCTAATGCGTCTTAGTGACGGGCCTTTTCCTGCTGCAGAGCCAGCCTCTGCCTGTGTCCCCAACTCGACACCTTTCTCACCTCCGCACATTCCTTGTTATTTTCTTTTCTCTCTTCTTCAGTTCCTCCTCTTCCCAAGAAGACTCAGATTTCAGGATTCCTGCTGCTCCTCCAAGCAAGAATTTCCTCAAACACCATGTTCTTGGTGAAGCCAATTTTTAAATTTTTAACCTCAGTGGGGAATGGAGACTCACTCCTAGAATCTCAATGCTTGGGATACTTGAGGCATGAGGCCCGCCTGAGATATCCTGTCTCAGACAAAATGATAATGGTGATAAGAATAAGTAATAGAAGTCCGTCCTGGGACTGGGGCGATGGCTCAGTGGTTAAGAACATTTGCTGCCCAGCAGAGGACCATCAGTTCCCAGAACTGCGTGTAACCGCTCACAACGCCTGTAACTCCACAGTCTGGGCATCTGACACCCTCTTCTGATCTCCCCAGGCGCTGGCACACACGAGGTACACATAAACTCAGGACATACATACAATTAACATTTCAACCCCTTCCTGCTTCCCACTCGTTAGACCTGTTCCTCCCTATGAATTTATGTAGTGAGTATGTGGATGCGGGGGTTTTGAGTCCCACAGCGCACACGTGGAGGTCAGAGGATGACTGTGGGACCTGGTTCTCACCTTCTACTATGCAGGTTCTGGGGGATCAAACGCAGGTTGTTGGGGTTGGCAGCAAGCGCTCTTACCCACTGGGCCTTCTCACCAGCCCTAAACCTGTCTATTCGCTCCTTAGCACTAATCTCGGATACGTGCCTCCCTTCCTCACCTCCCAGTGCTATGACCGGATGTACCTCAGCGATTAAACATTCGTTAGATGAACAAGTCATGGCATCAGTTTTCATTTGTCCAATGCAATGAAAGCACTTTATTAGATATCTCAACTTGGTCAGTCATTAATTAATATTTTGTGGGTCTCAAGCTCATGAGTCCAAATGATCCTCCAGCCTCCGGCTCCTGAGTAGCTGTGACTACAGGAGCGTGCCACGAAGCTCAGGTCAGTATCTAAATGAAAATTGTGCTTTATAGTCTTGTATGTACACATGACACAACTATTATTTACTCACTGGTGTATATCACATTGACAAAATTGTGTCTATAGTAAAATCTGCAGGCTGGGCTCTAGCTGTGGGAAAATGTTCAGAAAGAGGAATTGAGTTCTGGATTCTTTTCTCCTTCTGCCTTAGCCCCACCTTCACGTGGGTCGTAATAGATGTGGCAAATAGAGCAAAAGACAGTCCCGTTGTCTCTTTAACACTCCTGCTTGCTTATTATAGTCAGGGTATGCTGTCTTCTGAAACCAGCTGCTGAGAACGCCCACATTTATGCATTCTCTCTAGGAAAGAAAACTTCACATATGGTGCAAGAAGACTGTCCATTTTTTTTTTTTCCCCTTTTGAAAGATGTAGCCCAGGCTGACCTCAAACTCACTGTGCTGGCTGGTTTTTACATCAACTACGTTTTGACGAGAGGTAGGGTCATCTGGGAAGAAGGAATCTTAACCTAGCAAATGCCTCTATAAGAGTGGCCTCTAGGCAAGCCTGTAAGGCATTTTCTTGATGATTGATGTGGGAGGGCCTGGCCCACTGTGGGCGGTGCCAACCCTAGGATGGCAGTCCTGAGGTGCAGAAACTGAGCAACCCACGAGGAGCAAGCCAGTCAGCAGTACTCCTCCATGGCTTCTGCTTCAGTTCCTGCCTCCAGGTTCCCTGGTTTCCCTCAGGGATAGACTTAAGCCATAAGGCAAAATAAACCTTGTCTTCCCCAAGTTGCTTTTGGTCATAGTATTTTCATTACAGCAATATAAACCCTAAGACACACACTTGCTATGTAGCCAAGGATGACCTTAAACTTCTGATCCTGCTTCACTTCCTGAGTGCTGAGATTACAGCCTGGGCAAGCACATCCAGTTCAGGCGATTCGTGTCTCCAACGTAGGGCTTTGTGCATGTTGGGCGAGCACTCTACCGACTAGGCACACCTCCGTGCATTTCTTTCTCAAGTTTTAGAACTTCTCTTTTGACTCACAAGCGGCCCCACTAGTGCCAGAAAGACTTCATTGGATCAGCATTCGGAGTTTAGCTCACACAGGGTCAGCTTCCTGTGTGTGCATATCTTGAAGTCTCGGAGAACCCAAGGATGAGAAAGGGCCACTATATATGTTTTGCTGCTGTTCTCTTGTCTGCACATCCATGAGTGTGTGTGTGTGTGTGTGTGTGTGTGTGTGTGTGTGTGTGTGTACACATGTGCTTGTGCATGTACTTGTGCGCATGTGCAAGGGTCTTGGGGGTGGAAGCTGTGCTAGGCAAGTGCTCTACCATGGAGCCAACACCCCTAGTTCTGCCTTGATGTGCTTTTAATTTATTGTTATTATTATTATTGATTTTTTTTGAGACAGGATTTCTCTGTGTGGTTTTGGTACCTGTCCTGGATCTTGTTCTGTAGACCAGGTTGGCCTCAAACCCACAGAGATCTGCCTGGCTCTGCCTCCCGAGTGCTGGGATTAAGGGCATGCGCCACCACCACCCAGCTTTTATTATTTTTTTACTCATTTTTCTGTGTGTTGGTATGTGCATGTGAGTACTGGTGTCTGAGGAGATGTACTTATAGGCAGTTGGGATCTGCCTGATGTGGTTGCTAGGAGTTGAACTTTGGCCCTCCGTAAGGCTACATGCTCTTAACCATTAAGCCATCTCTCTAGCATACACACTCCTCCTCTTGATCTTAATGATCTCCACATTTTAGTTTTGCACAGGACCCTCAGAATTAGCCAATTTCCCTTTGAGAATTTGGTAACTTCCGAAGCATAATTCTTGGTGAGAATGGAGAAGTTGTTAGGTCAGTTGGGGTGTAAAGTTCCTGGTAAGTTGAGCTGTGTCTTGGTGTTGCCCTGGAGCCTCGTAATCTGCCCTGACGAGTGGACTTTGATGTGGAGACAGTTGCTCTTTGTCTACACGCAGCTCCTGCTGCCTGGCTTACACCCGCCCTTTAGACCTTTGAGGGGCTGGCAGTTATGTAACCATCCTTGGATGTCAGGCCATTAAAACAGTGGACTCCAGGGAATTACTATTCCCCAGGAGCCCCAGGCTGCGGGAGGGGAAAGACCGAATCCAGCGCCAGCCAGAGGGGAACTGGCATCCCAGCAAGAGATTTTTACACAGTTCTGACAACTCACAGGGGCCACCCTGCAGGAGAGACTGGAGCCCAGTGATGATGGGTGGGCCCACATCTTGACCAGGACTTTTAGCTTCAAACCCAAGTCTTATGTCAGGACCCTACAGTTGAACTCGGAGGTCACCAACCCCCCTCTTTTATTCCTCTTCCCAGTATGGGCCACACCAAGTGACTCTCTTTTCTCTGCTTTTCACTGTCACTTGCCTCGTGGAGTCCTGGGGACAGGGGACCAAGAGAGAGCCCAGGCTTTCACCCTGGTAGTTCCAGTTAGATTCTGATAACAACAATAGGTGCTAGCCATTGATGCACAGTGGAAAGAAAGGAGCCGTGAACTTAGAAGTCAGGGAACTCTTTTTTCTCCTAGGAAAGATCTGAAGTGGAAAGCAAAAGAATGGAAAAAAAAATCAGACTGCACATCCTAACTGTCAGAAAGCCGATACAGCTGAATCACCACTGACTCTGGGACAGGAAGTACTACCAGGGAGGTAACCCATGAAGATAAAGTATCCAGGTCCTGTTTACCAAGGACGCTGTAGCAACTCAGACTGTGTGTGGACTTATCTTGGCCTCCGTATTTAAGAAGCAGAAACCACAAAGTTGAGCGTTGGGGAAAAGAAATATCTAAATGAAAAGCAAAAGTTGACAAAGCCACAAATAAAATCAGACAAGTTATGAACAGAATGGGTGCAATGGTATTAATCTATCTTGCAGCGTTGATAGAATGAGCAAACTCAAAATATCAGAAAAGAGGGGCCAAGGAGATGGCTCCGTTCGTAAAGCCCCTGCCTCAGATGCCTGGGGACCTGAATTCAGATCCCCAGCACCCTGAGAAGGTTCCACAGTGGAGAGAGAGCTGCACTGACCTATCAGAGGACTGGAGTTCAGAGCCAACGCCTGTAACTCCAGCTCCAAGGGATCTGGTTCATGGGTACCTGCACACACACACACACATCTTTAAACAAACAAACAAACAAACAGAAAAGCTGGACAGGGTGGACACATCTGTAACTCCAGCTCCAAGGGATCTAGTTCATGGGTATCTGCACACACACACACACACACACACACACACACACACACACACACACACCTTTAAACAAACAAACAGAAAAGCTGGACAGGGTGGACATATCTGGACCTACAGGGCTAGCGGTGAGGCAGAAGCAGGTGGTTCCTTGGAGCTCTTTGGCCAGTCAGCTTAGCCAAATCGTGAGGTCCAGGTTCGGTGAGAGACCATACTGCAGAAAGTAAGGTCGAGAGGACTGGTGAGGTGGGTCAGGGGTCAAAAGTGCTCGTTGAACAAGCCTGGTGACGATCCGAGTTCAATCCCCGTCAAACCAGTAGAGATGGAAGGAGTGAACTGACTCCAGGAAGCTCTCCTCTGACCTCCATACCTGCACATGGCATGCACACATGCATCACCTGCGCACACAGACACACAAACACACAAATGATAAATCCGGAGTGGCTGGAACTGCAGGTGCATGCCATTGGGCCTGGATTTACACAAGAAGATTGGTAAGTTTGAATTAATGGACCCATGAAGAACACTGTACCTGCAACTGCTAAAGGCATGTGTCTATCGAGCCCATGAAGAACATCTTCAAACATCAGAAATGAACGGGGTCAAGTGGAATCCTAGGTGGAGCAGAAGGCCAAGGAGCCTGCCAACCCAGAAGCCAGTGGTGTGCCTAGAAAGTGCCAGGATTCCAGGAGCAGAAGAGGCTGTGGAGGAATCTGCTCCAGACATTTTGGGCCTAGGTTGTAGTAGTGTGGGCTACTCACCCTCAAAACCTTAAAATACTCAAGAGTTCTTTGAAGGAGATGGGTTCACTACAAACCAAAAAGCAAGGGTACCCAGTGGAGCCCCCAGAAGTGACAGTACGCACTGTTCCCAAGCTTACAGAACAGGTTCAAGGCTATGACTCCATGTGGCAGCTTTGGGGGACAGAGCAGCAAACAGACAGGCTGATGGGAAGATGCAGAGGATGTAGAAAGCCGAGAGAGGAAAGAGACGATGTCTGGGAGCCCGTCTCCAACCAGTCCTCTCCCAAAGAGGGGCCCCCAAGCATCTTTGAATTTGCTGCATACCAGAGCTTGAAGAAGTTATTAGCTTAGGCGTACATTTTAAAGATTTACCTTATTTTCACGTATGTGTATGTGAATGTGTCTGTGTGTGGTATGTACCTGAGAAGGCCAGAAAAGGGCATCAGATCCCTTGATGCTGGAGTTACAGATGGCTGTGAGCCACCTGATTTGGGTCCTGGGAACTGAACTCAGGTCCTCTGAAAGAGCAGCAAGCGCTCTTAAGTGCTGAGCCGTCTCTCCAGCCCAGCATAGGTTTTCCTGATGTATTTTTTGTTTCGTTTTGCTTTGTCTTGCAGTTTTGGGGTATCCACTCAGGGCCTCCCCAGTGTTGAAACAAGTTCTTTCCTCCTGAGCTACACCCTCTTGCCTGGACTGTTAATGTTTTAAAACTTATTTATTTGTGGTCTGTGTGGTTCTTAAGTGTTTGTCACAGTGAATTTTAGCTGTCAACTTGACACAAACCTAGAGTCACCTGAGAAGAGGGGACCTCAACAGAGGGATTGTCTAGATCAGATTGTCCTGTGGGCATGTCTGTGAGGCATTTTCTTAATTGCTCGTTGATATTGGAGGACCAGCCCACTATGGGCAGCACCAGCCCTAGGCAGGAGGGCTTGGGCTGTTTTAGAAAGTTAGTTGAGCAAGCCAGGCAGTAAGCAGTGTTCCTCCTCGGTTTCTGCTTCAAGCTCCTGCCTTGGGTTGCCACCTTGGTTTCCCTTGATGATGGACAGTAACCTGTAAGCCAAATAACCCTTTCTGCCCCCAATTGCCTTTGGTCAGTGTCTTACCACAGCCACAGAGAAGCAAACTAGAATTGTTGCCAGTTGCAGAGATTGAGAGAGATGCTGGGGGGACAGGAAGAACGGGCAGGATCCATTCAGCGGAACTCTGGCTGGTGATTTCTATGACAACTGGACAGGTTCACAGATTAGAAGAGATTCTTCTTGCCAAGACTGTACCTTGAAGCAGTGTGTTCGACCGAGAAGGCAAAGCACTTCCTTTTTCCACACAAGGTTTGAATGTGGACTATCCCACCCTCTCCGGTCTGCTAACAGCCCTGGGAGAGATTTACTGGCGGGGGTGGGGGCTGGGGGGTTAGGCTTCCTTACCGTGATCCACTGAGGGTCAAGTGGGAGAGCACATATCCTTCCCATAATGCACTGGTTCCTATGCATTAGAATCGCATGGCTATCTCCTGAGACAATCCCAATGCCAGGTGAATTATCTTTCCTTTAAATTTTTTTTTTTTTTTTAAATATCTAAGACAGGGTCTCAGGCAGTACAGGCTGGCCTTGAACACCTGGTTCCTCCTGTCTCTCTAAAAGCCAAATGCTAGGCTGGCATGTGCCATTCTGCCGGACAGATATTCTCTGTGTAAGAGCCCTAGCTGTCCTGGAACTCACTTTGCAGACCAGGATATTCTTAAATATATTAACTGGGTCTTTACTTCCTCCCCCTCCCCCTACTTTGGTTAAAAGTAACTTTCCTTTAACGTCAGAATTTATGACATTTGCATTTTAAAACCAGAACCACTTTGTCCTCTTTGTTTTGGTCCCTTCTCGCCTCGGTGAATTCGTGGTTCACATTCTGTCCTTTTGCCATAACTGCTCTGCTCGCTTCCCGGTTGGTTGATAAGAAACCCTCAAATAGTTGGTTCAAGAAGAACTCGTGGGGTCGGGGATGTGGCTCAGCTGGTAGAGTCCTTGCCTGACATGCCCAAAGCTGTGGGTACCATCCCTGCCTCCAAGCAAATGGGTATGTTGGTGCTCGTCTGTAAATCTTAACACTGGGAGGTGAAGGCAGAAGGGTCAGGAGTTCAAGGCTATCTATAGATCAAGTTTGAGGCCGACCTAGGATACATAGGACCCTGTTTCAAAAAAATGAATAAAAACCAAGAAGGACCTAGTGGAACTGGAAATGATGGTCTTTGCCAGTGGCCCCAGCACTGGGAAGGCAGAGGGAGGAGGATGTCCATTTGAGTCAGCCTGGACGACATAGCCAGAGCCAAGGCAGGGAGGGAGGAAGAGAAGGGTAGAGAGTCAATAAGGGGGCTCAGGCAGCCAAGGCACTTGCCGTGGACCTGAGTTCAGTCCCCAGAAAAGGTAGAAGGAGAGAACCACCTCCACAAAGGTGCCCCCTGACCTCCACATGGACTCCATGCCTACTCCCTCATCACCTTCACATATAATAAAAGAAAACATTGAAAGGAGAAAATTTTGTGGAGATTATATTTTCCGAATTCTTCTATAATTCTATTGCTTTCATATCTGTCCCCCCCCACCCCCACACACACAAGGAAAAAAAAAACCAATTTAAGTCAACATAAACACTCAACCACACTCTCTTTCCCTGAGGACTGTGAATCCTTCGATATCATTTTACTGACTATCTAATTAGGGCTGTGCAGAAATCTAAGCTACGATTAGTATAATTTAAACTTTTACCAAGACAACCAAAATTTCTTTCTTTCTAATGTGTGTGTGTGTGTGTGTGTGTGTGTGTGTGTGTGTGAATATGTGTCCGGGTAAATGCATGTGCAGAGGTCAGAGGACACCTTGCAGGAGTGGTTTTCTCTTTACACCATGTGGGTGGATCCTGGGAAATCAAACTCAGGTCATCGGGCATGGCCACCAGCACCTTCCCAGCTGAACCATGCTGCTGGCCCTTTCTCTCTGCATTAATTGGGTAGTCATCCCCTCCCCCACCCAGTAATATTTTTACATAGATGGTTCCTCTTTCACTTCAACTCATCTTGGTGTGAGCCGGGCTCTGGGGACCGATGGCCATTGCGTACGGAAGGAAGATTGTAGTGAGGCAGAGAGCGCTTCCGTGTTCCAGGCTAGGAGACGTTCTCCTTTGGATCCGTTCCCTGGAAACCCGTGGGAAGCGCCCCTGGTTACCATGCTGAATGCTCGCCACCATAAAGTCTTTTTGCCTGAAACCAGTGCTGCTGTAATGGCTTTTGGTGAGCCCAGTGCTATTTCCTGATGAACCTTGTTGAAAGTTGTCGAGGTGTGTTTTAGATAAGCCTAGAGCCTGGCATGCTGGCGCACACAGCATTTAGCAGGCAGGGCTGGAGGCCCAGGGATTCAAGACTAGTCTCAGCCCACATAGTGAGTTCAAGGCAACTGTGGGCTACACGAGCCCCGCCCCCTGCCCCGCCCCCTCCTCCCCCGCAAAGAGGCATAAAAACATAAATATCATTGATGAATTATTCTAAATGGACAGCATCATAAGAGGAACCCAAGTCAGGTCAAAAAATAGAACAAGGGCTGGGGAGCAAGTATAAGGACCTGAGGTTGAATCCCAGCACCTACATAAAAAGCCGGGCGTGGCTATGAACGCCTGGAGTCCCAGAACTGTGGGTGTCGGAGCAGGAGGATCAACGGGGCTGGCTGGCTGCCAGTCTAGCTCCAGGTTCAATGAGAGATCCTGCCTCAAGGGAATAGGGTAAAGAGTGGGAGAGCAAGACATGTGACATCTTTGGGCTCTGAAAGCACACCTACCCTACCATCACTACTCACTACACAGGTGCACATATAACACACACACACCGTAACACACACACACACACACACACACACACACACACACACACACACTGTCTTAAAAAATAAAATGGACAATGAATGAGGAAAACACTCAGCATTGACCTCTGGACTGTACATGCAAGCAAACTTGCATGGGCGGCCACACCCACATACACAAACAGACATGAACATACACATGTGGACACGAAGGGGAGGAAGAAAGACATACAGACAGACGGGGA